CCGACGGGGCGCGGCTGCTGAGCTGGCGCCGGGCGAGTGGCGCACGCGGATGTCGCAGCTCCTTCCCGCCAGGTGGGCGGTTGCCATCGCGACGAGGGGTCACTCGGGTCGGCGCTGCCGAGGCCCGGCCGGCGTCGCGGGCGTTTCTGGCAGGGAAACTCGCCCGGCCGGTTTGCTTCCGGGAGGAGCCGGAGCCGCTGGGCTCGCACCCCGCGCCGCGCTCGTCCTTCACCCGGGCCCGGCTGAGCCGGCTCTCCTCAGCGGTAGCTCGTCCCTATGTCCGAGCGGTCGCGGCCTGGTCAGACCCGGCGCCCCGAGGCCGTGCCAGCTCCTCGCTTCCATTCCTGCTTCGGCTGCAGAAAGATACTCGAGCGCTCCTCCTGGTGCAAAGCCCGGAGCAGGGCGGGGGATTTATGACACAAGTTTTATTTGAACTCTGGGTGTATCTTGTGACTCCTGTTTGCACACCTGCAGCGCCCGCATTGCGTCCTGCGGCACCCTCGAAGGGTCTCGAGGCACCCCAAGGAATCGCCAGTCTGATTTAATACGTTGATCAGGAGGGCAACAAACAAAGGGGCGTTGGGGTTCAGCCCAGCATGTGATTTGCCAGCGCTCTGCTATGAATAGATGCAAATACAAATTCAGCAGTCTGTGCATGCAAACACTTTGCCCACTGAAAGCAGCTGCCTTTTTGGGGGATGTTGACGCTGTTCAACAACAACTCCATGCAGCTGCTGTGACGGGAAGAGCCCTGTATCCAGCCATACCTGCAGAGAGACTTTTGGCAGGTGGAACATAAATATGCAAACTGGAATTAGGCCAGGGATTTGTTAACAGCCTAATAATCCTTGGGAAGACAGTGACACAATCGTTAGTAGCTTCAGAGGAGGGAGTTGAGGCTGAGGTTAGGCCGTGGTTTGATTCCTGTTTTGAATCAGTTTGGAGGAGGTACGAGCAGAGCACCCAGTGCTCTCCATGGGGATGGGAGCTGCCCCAAAGTCTTGTCCCCAGTCCCGGAGGGGGAGAGCAGCCTGGTTCTCCAAGCAGATGACTGGAGATATGAGCTTCTGCTGGGCCTGCTGCGGCGGCTCTGTGTGATCCTGGGCAAATGGCTTCAGGTCCTTCATCTGTAACACAGGGATAATGAGACTGACTCGCATCATGGGACACTTGTGAGCTACTTTTGCTGAGTTTGGGAAAGGCTTTGAGAGCCTTGGTTTTGAAGGTGCTCTCAGCAAATCCAGCTCCACAAAGTGTCTAGTCCCTTCCCCAAGGTTTTCCTTGCAGTCCCTGCCTTGTCTCTGCTTCACTTGTGACCCTGAATGGGATTGCACTGTGCGGTGGGATCACCTACCTGCTTGCCTCATTTCCTCATCCTGGGGCTGGTGGGGCCACCTGGGCTCTTTCCCCGGGGGCATGCTCGAGTTAGGAGATGTGCCACTCGAAGGTGGCTGGGGATGTAGCTGGTGCAGCCGTTAGATGGATGTTGCTGTCCTGGGCAGACAAGCAGCTGGTCCTGAGCCTGCCCCTGTGTCACGTGTACTGCTTTTGTGCCCTCAGTGCCTCGCTGGCAGCTCGGTGACAGTCCCAGAAACACTGCTCTTTGTATCCACCCTCGATGGGAACCTTCACGCTGTGAGTAAGAAGACGGGCGACATCAAGTGGACCTTGAAAGATGGTGAGCACCAGTGCTGCAGCCTGTTATCTTGGGGCTGGGGCCCCTGGGATTGGTACTGACCACAGGGATGGGGTTCACCATCCCACAGTCCCTCCTGCTGGCTAAAGAGGGCAGGAGCTGATCTGATCAGGGGACTTCCCCAAACACTGGAGCGTGACACCAGGGACGTGTCTGAGCAGCTGTGGCTGATCCAGGCTGACATGCAAATAGATACGTGAATGCACCTGCGACTGCAAACAGCACAGGCCGCCACATGGCCCCTGCGGCTGGGCCGTCGGGGAGGTGCTGACGTGTCTGCTTTGCACTCTCTTTCAGATCCCATTCTTCAGGTCCCGGTGTATGTGGCAGAGTAAGTGTCTCTCCCTGGCCCAGCATAACTCAACCTGCCTGGGGGCTTTGCCTTCGCAAGGACTTCCTGCTCCCGGGGCAGTACAGAATGAGGAGCCAGGGGCTCCCAGTCCTACACCACACCTCTCAAGCACCTCCGCTGTACCAGCACCAGGGCTGCTTTGCTGGGGGGCACTCGAGCACAGATAAGTCTCTGCCAGTCATGCTGCTTTGCTGTTCTCAGAGCAGCGGTGCTGACAGCCCTCGAGTCCCAGTGAACCTGCGCTGAACTGGCAGAGCTGCCTAGTGGAGCCTGAGAAAGAGGAGGTGGACGCTGGCTGGGCAGGAGCTGGTACCATGTCCAGGAGTCTGCCCTCTCTGCAGAGTGGCTCCCTGCCCCGGGGAGGGGCCTGTGTTTTGTGGACGGTTCTCAGCTCTCCAGCGCACGTCTGGGCAGCCCCCTGCCCCCAGTTAACTGTCCAGGCCTTGGTGGCTTTTAGGGATGTTCTCTGGCCTGACTCTTCTCCCCAAACAGTCCTGGCTGCTTCACCTGCCGGCAAGGTAGTAACAGCACCTCCTGCACTGAACGGAGGGTGCAGACAGTGCTCAGAGCAAGCTCCTTCACTGCCGGCACATCACTCTCTTCTCCTTCTCCCAGGCCAGCGTTTCTCCCAGACCCCAACGATGGCAGCCTCTACATCCTGGGAGGCAAGAACAAGGAAGGCTTGATGGTCAGTACTGCCTTGCGAGGGGCTGCTGCCGATGAGCCATGGCCCTGTCCCCCCGGTGCTGCCGGGAGGGGGGTGGCTGCAAATAGGACAGGGCTCCACTGGAAGAGCCAGGGACTCTGGACAACTCCTGCCTGTCCAGCATCACTGCAGGGGGTGGCAGAGGCAGCTGGGCCTCCTTGGCCTGCTCTGGCTGATCAGCCCCAACCTGAATGCTCATGTTCCCCATGGTCATGGGGTCAGTGTGGGAAAAAGCCCCCTGTGCAGGGAGTCCGGGCCGTGGGCAGCAGCATGCCTGGCTGGTTCTCTTGGCCCTGTGCTGCTCACAGACTGCTGTTCCCTCTGTCTGCTACAGAAGCTCCCATTCACCATCCCGGAGCTGGTCCAGTCGTCTCCGTGCCGCAGTTCAGATGGGGTCCTCTACACAGGTACAAGCAGCAGCCAGGTGTGGGACGGGGGGAAGGCTGCTCTGGGTATCAGGCAGCACTTCCTGTCTCGTCCCCAGGCCCTGAGCCATGGACAGCTCCAGGGCAGCTGCTGCTGGAAGGAAGTAATCCTGTGCAGGAGAGAGCCAGCCTGAACTGAGTCTGAGTGCGCTGACTCTGCCAGGGGGTCTTGGGGCATGTTGATGCCTGGGAAGGGGCATCTTGCAGGTGCAGGGGGATAGGGAGGAGTGGTCGGTGGGTGGGAGCTGGTGAGGGAGGGCTGTCAGGGCCTGGAGACTGACTGATGGGCATTCCTGCTTTCCCAGGGAAGAAGCAGGACACGTGGTTCATTGTGGACCCCAAGTCCGGGGAGAAGCAGACAACACTGTCGACAGAAGCCTGGGATGGCCTGTGCCCCTCCACCCCGCTCCTCTACATCGGCCGCACCCGTAAGCCACAACCCCCATCTGCGCATCCGGCTGTCCCAAGCCCAGTGCCAAGCCTTAAGGCCTGTCCCTGTGCCGTGCAGGGCACCCATCCATTCTCGTGCAGGGTTTGCTCTGTGGCCATTAGAAACAGCAGGGGCTGGAGAAGCTTCATTTCCTGAGAGAGAAGGGAGCTATGCCTGCAGCCTCCCAATGCTGAGAGACCCTGGTCCTACTCTGGGGTGTCTGCCCAGACTGTTCTGTTGGGACACATTGCAGGAGGGTCCCCTCCAGGGCAGTTACCCAGGCGCTGGGCACCCTGTCCCCATCTCCCCGGCCCTCGCCAAGGTCTGAGCAGTGCCATGAGCTGCAGCCGCTGCTCTGTCCCCAGAGTACGTCATCACCATGTACGACACCAAGTCGCGGGAGCTGCGCTGGAACGCCACCTACTCCGACTACTCTGCGCCCGTCCTGGATGAGGCCTATGATTACAGTGAGTGGTGGCGTGCACGGGGCCAGGCTTCCTGCTGCGTTGTGCTGCCCTGCCAGCTTCCCTGTTGAGGAGCGGTGCCCTGTGCGTAGAGGGGGTCCCATGTAGTAAGTGCTGCTTCGAGGGGCCGTTTTCCCCAGCATCCCTCGGGGTGGGAGCAGTGGTGCACGTCAGCATTTGGGTCCAGAGCTCACTGGACAGGTAGAGATGGGGGAGGCAGCAAAGGGCCATGCGAGCTCCTGCCAGGCTTTCCAAGCTGTGTCCAGCCCTGCTTGGCTGGAAGAGTCGCTGGTCTGTCTTGGAAAATAGCCCCATGGATCCAGAGGCCAGAGTGGTGAGTCTGTCCTGGGGAGTCTACACAGGGTGATGGATAGCTGCCTGCATGCACCCAGGTTTTAAACCAGCTGTAGCCATGGAGAGCAAGCCCAGCCTGGACGCAGGGAGCTCAGGGTAGAGCATCCTAGAGATGCAGTAGTCCCACCTGCCCGGCGTGTCTCCCCAGAAATGGCCCACTTCTCCTCAAGCGGGGATGGCCTGGTGGTGACCCTGGACAAGGAGAGTGGCGAGATGCTGTGGATGCAGAACTACGGCTCCCCTGTGGTGGGGATCTACACGTGGCACCAGGACAGCCTCCGGCGTGTGTCCTACCTCAATGTGGCCATGGAGACGCTGCGGTACCTGACCTTCCACTCGCAGGACATCCGCCTCAAGTGGAACTACCCATCCGCGAAGGACTTCTCTTCCACCAAGACCCAGCTGCTGTGCGTGTCTTGGGGCAGCCCGGGCTGTGACAGCAGTGGCATGTCCTGGGATGGTGGCAGTACATGGCTACCCCCTGGAGCTGGGTGGGGTGGAGCTGTTGCTCTTGGGCCTGGAGGACAGCAGCTCCCAGGGAACATGCTGTGGTTGGGGTTTGAGCCAAGATTGAGCACCTGCTTTTACATCCCCTTCTGCCTGGGGAGCAGCTGACCACAGTGGTGGCCCCCACTTCCCCTAAGCCAGTCTGGCTGCGGTTCAGGGGTTGATGCCTCAGTGGGCCCTGAGCAGTGCCGCAGACTTGGGCGCTGATCCTGTCTCTGTCCCATAGGCCGACGCTCTACATAGGGAAGTACGCAGCCAGCTTCTACGCCCTGACCTCCCTGGTCCACGAGAGTGTGGCACTTGTGGTGAGTTCCCCATCTGCCCCAAATGCCCCTGGCTGGCAGGCTGAGGCCACGTCCCCACTGCCCAATGCTTACTGCGATGCTTTGCTGCCCAGCCCCAGGGGATCACGCTGGCTCGGATCGACGGCCCCACCACGGACGATGTGACAATGAGGGAATCTGGCGAGTGTGAGATCACCCCCAGCACGGACGTCAAGTACCCACAGGGCAGCACCTCCTCCCTGCACAACCAGTGGTTCCTCATAGGTGAGGGCCCCCAGCGGGTAGAACTGGGAGCCGGTGATGGGTGACCCTCTCTGTGACGAGGCAACCTGCCTTGTGCCCGCTGTGACTAGCACCTGGGCTGCGAAGCACTTTCTGGGGCCCCCTTCCTGGGGGGTGCTTCACCCCATCCCTGCCCCTCACCAGAAGCGGCTGCTGTAGTGGGGGAACAAAGTAGGGGGCAGTCCCAGCGGAGAGCAGCTCACGAATGCACAGACAAGTGAGAGTCCAGGTTTGCAAGTGCAGAGTGGGGGAGGCACCTGGGCGAGCAGGCGTGTTTGCACTCTTGGCAGCTCCATGTGCACGATCAGAATGAACTGACATGCACCAGTGCACATGGAAATCTGGCCGTGTTTGTGCACCGCAGCAGGTCAGTGCATGAGGCCACATGCATGGAAGCCAGGGCCCCGGTGCCAGCAAAGACATCTGGAGGGGGTTAACTTCCCCACTGTGGGCTGAGCACCAGCAGCTAAGCCCCCACCTCCAGGGGATCCTTGCAAACCCTTGCACATCCCTGGGGTGGAGCCAGCAAGATGCTGCTGGGATTCCCTTCGTGTCCCTGTCAGGACAGATGCTGACAGCCACATGCTGTGTGCCTGGGCCCCAGCCTGGCACAGTTCAGCCAGAGCAGGCTGCCAGCCCAAGGGACAACCACAGATCAGTGTAGCTTTCTCCTCCCTTGCCCTTCAGGGCACCATGAGCTGCCTCCCGTGGTCCACACCACAATGCTGAGGACCTTTCCAGAGATGCTGAGGAAGACAACGGAAGCCATCATCCCCAAGAGCTCCCCGGCCAGGACTCTGTTTGACGAGGCGAGTGTCATGCAGCAATCCTGGGCTGCCTGGAGGGGTGGGAATGGCATGGGTTGGTGTCCCAGCCTGGTGGGGCCGAAGTGGGGGTGCCCAGTGGGGTGGGAGCAGGACTGTGGCCCAGCACATGGGGTGGCTTCAGGGAAGGGCGCCCAGAGCACGACTATCAAGGGGTCTGTTGGGGTAACCCCTGTGCCCTGGCTTTGCTTTGCAGTTCCTGACCCCAGAGAGTATGGAGGATCCAGGTGGCAGGGGCAGCGAGGGGCGCTTCCACTTGGATGCCAGCCAGCCAGAGCAGACCAAGATCTACCCGGAGTTGGGCAGCGGGGACCTCATGGGTGTGGGTGTCGCTACTGTCCTGCTGGGCGGTGGGATCCTGTTCCTCTTTCTCCGGGTGAGTGCACGCTACAGCCTTTCTCCTGCAGACTCGGGGCCTGGCTGAGCTGAGTTCCCACTGGCTGGGGTTAGACATCCTCCCTGAGCTCCGCTTGCCCTGTTCCCTGGTCCAGGCCGAGTCCTGGATGTCATGATGCCCAGTACAACCCTAGCGTAGCAGCTGACAGGCAGCTCCACTGTGGCTCAAAGTCATGCCCTGCTGCATCCACAGCTGCCCCCATCCCAGCCCTTCCTTGCCCCAGCACTGCCAGTTGCTGCAGGAGGGAAGTGAGCGCTCGGGTCCCTCGCTGCTGCGGTGTCTTGGCATGGAAGGACCCACCATGGCAGGGGCAGAGGGTGCTGTGGACTGGCAGCTTTTAGGATGCTAATGTCCTTGCCTTGTGTCCCAGGTGCAGTGGGAGCAGCACAAGGCACAGCAGCAGCAGCAGCAGCTGGAGCAGCGGCTGGAGGAGCTGCTGTCCCCAGGCCGAGTCTCCAGGGAGAATCTCCTGCTGGCGCCCAAGGAGTCACCAAGCGGGACCCAAGAGATGGCATCGCAGTCATCCCAGAGCTCTAGTCCCTCCTTTGTGCAGAGTGACCTGGCCAATGGGATGGTCTTCCAGGGTCTGCCCATGTCTGAGGCTGCTGAAGGTCTGTGCTGGGGGCAACAGGGTGCAGGATCTGGGGTGCATGGGGTAGGATGTCATGTCCTGGGAGCGTGGAGAGGGGCATGCTGGAAGGAGTACTAGGGCAGCACAGCGCTGTGGAGATCGGGGCAGGGTCATAGATTTCATAGACATTAGGGCTGGAAGGGACCTCGGAAGATCATTGGGTTTGGGCTACCACCCCAAAGGGCAGGAAGTCAGCTGGGGTCATAGGATCCCAGCAAGATAAGCAGCCAATTTACTTTTTAAGGTGTTCAATGTTGGTGCTTGAACCACCTCTGATGACAGGCTGTTCCAGACCTTGGGGGGTCGGACAGTAAAGAAATTCTTCATAGTTTCATAGTTGGTCACGTCGGAAGGGACCTGAGCAGATCATCAAGTCCAACCCCCTGCCACGGCAGGAAAGAGTACTGGGGTCAAACGATCCCAGCAAGGTGATTGTCTAGCCTTGTCTTAAAGACCCCCAGGGTAGAAGCCAGCACCACTTCTCTTGGAAGTTGGTTCCAGATCCTAGCCGCCCTGACCGTGAAGTCGTGCCTGCTGATATTTAGTCTGAATCTACCCTCTGCCAGCTTGTGACTGTTATTCCTGGTCACTCCTGGCAGTGCTCGGGGGAACAGACTCCCCCAGTGCCTGCTTGTCCCCCCTGACTAGTTTGTAGCAGGCCACTAGATCCCCCCTCAGCCTTCTCTTGTGGAGGCTGAACAGGTTCAGGTCCTGTCGCCTCTCCTCATAGGGCCTGCCCTGCCTGATCATGCAGGTGGCCCTCCTGGACCCTCTCCATGTTGTCCACATCCCTCTTGAAGTGTGGTGCCCAGAACTGGACACAGTACTCCAGCTGCGGCCTGACCAGTGCCACATAGAGGGGGAGTCATGTCTTCCTGAGACGTGGCAGAGTTGGCGAGAGAGGTTGGCAGAAGTGTTGCCGTGTGAGGCAGGGAGGGCAGCAGCGGGGAAGGCTCTCCCTTGCAGGGTGACCAGCAGTGCAAGAAGCTGTTGCTGGATGAGCCCAGGGATTAGGAAGGGGATTGCAGAGACCAAGGGTGGCAGGGGACCATGGGTGATGGATAGTGGGCAGTGGGTGGGGACTCTGGGCACACATGGCACAGGGGATCTCTTGTGACTTTCACCCTGTGTGCGCTGTCCCCACAGATATGGCACCAGATGTGATCACAGTCGGGAAGGTTTCCTTTAACCCTAAGGAAGTGCTGGGCCACGGTGCGGGGGGCACCTTTGTCTTCAGGTGAGCGGTGCTCCCCGGTGCCTTGCTTTGCTCAGGCTCTGCCCAGCTCGGAGGCACTGACCATCCTGCCTGGGGCAATGAGTTGCAAAGCCCCAGCCTAGCACAAGCTCATGGGACATTGCTGGCAGGGGCCAGGCCCACACAGATGCATGGATGGGCACCCATCACATATGCCTGGCATGCACTGGCCCTGATGGGCAGTCGCAGCCAAGGTGGAGAACGCTTCTGGGCTGGCACTGAGGCGCACTGCAGGAAGCCTGCGCTGTGCTGTAATTGCTGGGGCCTGGTCTGACACCCAGAAGTTCTCCCAGGCCTTGCTCAGTCCAGTGCAAAGGGACTTCCTGTAGAGGCTCAAGCAATCCCTGCTATGCATGGGGGAGACCTCAGCCAGGGCCACGGCTTCTGCTGTCACTCAGGCTGCCCATGCAGGGGAGCTAAGGGCTGGGTCATCTTGCAGCCTCCATGGTGCTGAGCTGTCCTCTGTGCCAAGCCCCTGGGTCACAGGCAGCAGAGCTCACAGCCTCTCTCCCACACCCCAGGGGCCGGTTTGACAGCCGCGATGTGGCTGTGAAGCGCCTGCTGCCCGAGTGCTTCTACCTAGTGGACCGGGAGGTCCAGCTGCTGCGGGAGTCGGATGAGCACCCTAATGTTGTGCGCTATTTCTGCACGGAGAAGGACAAGCAGTTCCATTACATCGCCATCGAGCTCTGCTCTGCCACACTGCAGGAGGTGAGCCCACAGCCCTGCCCTGAGACACCCCACGAGGCAGCTCCTGGTGGATGCGTGTGTGCAGAGGTCTCTGCAGGGCAACTAGACCCCAGACTCTGGCTGGGCTCCAAGCTGGGAATGAGGTGGCTTTGGGCTGCAGGGAGACAAGGCCTCCGGTGTACTGGTTGGGGAGTTTCCCATTTGCTCTCTCTCGGTGTGTGCATTAGTACGTGGAGAACCCCAGCTTCGACCGGCGCAGCCTGGACCCTGTGACTTTACTGTATCAGACCATGTCAGGCCTGGCCCACCTCCATGCCCTCCACATTGGTAAGGGAAGCTTCTTGCCCAGGTGACAGGCTCCGTTCAGCCCACTCGGTTCCAGCAGCTGATGTATGGCAGGCCTCAAATCTCAGTGGAGGGTGGGACCCAGAGGGCTGTAGGCCTGAGGCTGCAGTGGCCTGGGTGCAGCTGGCAGCTGCCCCTCGGTCCGAGGCTCTGGTCCTGCTGCCATGCAGCAGCTCCTGTGGGAAGCTCCAGCTGGCTCTGTGGGCTCTTCCTTTCCAGTTCACCGGGACCTGAAGCCATGCAACATCCTGATCTCAGCTCCCAACAGCCAAGGGCAGATCCGGGCCATCCTCTCGGATTTCGGTCTTTGCAAGAAGCTGCAGGGCGGCCGGCACAGCTTCAGCCTCCGCTCTGGCATCCCGGGCACTGAGGGCTGGATCGCACCCGAGCTACTGCGAGAGGACCCCAAGGAGAACCCCGTGAGTGAGCAGCTGCACCCCACACATGGCTAACCCTTCCCTTCTGCCCAGCTGCCTCTTGCCCCAGGGCACGGGGCGCCATGTATGGATCAGGGCATAGCTTTTGTAGCTGGAAGGAAGAGCAGCTGCCAGGCTAAATGCAGCTTGCTATCAGGGGCTTGCATTCGGCGGTGGAGCTGAGGGGTGGGAAGGGTCCCTTGCCCCAGCACCCAGTGGCTCTGACCTCCGCAGTCGTGTTTTACAGACATGTGCTGTGGACATCTTCTCAGCTGGCTGCGTATTCTACTACGTGGTGTCGGGAGGGCAGCATCCCTACGGGGACAGTCTGCGGCGCCAGGCCAACATCCTGTCGGGCACGTACCTGCTGACATGTCTGCTGGAGGACACTCACGGTAGGACCTTGCTCCATGGGCATTGCCCCATTTACAGCCCCCTGTTAGGACCAGCCCCTTCACTGGCACTTTCCATCCAAGGCTCTTGAGTCATATTGCAAGTGGGGATTTTTTCCGGCCTCATAAGCCCCTGGGTCAGGTCTGCACTGCTAATCCCATTTTACAGGTCAGGAACCTGAGGTCAAAGAAGTGGAAGGGACCTGACCAAAGTCCCATAGGGAGTCAGTAGTGGAACCTGGTCCTGTGCCTTAGCTGAAGGCAGCTTTTCAGATGCCCTGAGGCTGGAGATCCAGAGCCTTGAAACACAGGAGAGACTTTGGGGTCCCGACAGTCCCTTCCTCACTGGCCAGAGCTGGGTTATTCCCTGCAGGAGAATCTCTGTGGCATCAAATGGCTCAAGCAGGGGGGTTTGCAGCATGCTCCTTACAGGGTGATTGACTGTTTCCTCTGTTCCATGCTTCTGGGAAGGGACATGGGGAGCTTCGAAGCCACAGGCAGGCTTGGTTCTGGTGCAGGGCACTGTTGGGTCAGAGCACTGGCACCCAGCCCCGTGGGTACGCGTTCCCTCTCTGGGAACCCACCCTGGGGAGAGGGGCCAGGGCTGAGGGAGGGAAGGTTGGGGTGGCTCTTTCCCTTCTCTGGGGCCTTCATCACCTGCTCTCTGTGTTTTCTTTTGCATCCAAGACAACATCGTGGCGCGGGAGTTGATCTCGGCAATGATCAGTAGTGAGCCCCAGGACCGCCCCTCGGCCTCCCTGGTCCTCATGCACCCCTTCTTCTGGAGCCGGGAGAAGCAGCTGCAGTTCTTCCAGGTGAGAGGCTGGTGGCCTGTCTGACAGGATAGATCCCAGCGACCCCGTCCCCCACTTCTAAACCCAGCTCTGGAGCATTTTGTCAAAATACAAACTGCATAGTGATCTCCCTGAGCCTGGAGCCTCTCAGTGGGCCCAGTGCCCTGTGCTTGCTGTCATGCTTGGGCTTGGATTTCACTCCAGGGGCTGAGCAAGGAGTCATTTGAGGCAAGCCCAAGCCCAGTTCCTAGCCCTTTTGATGACCCAGATGATGCACGACCAGCGTGGGGCTGCCTTTCCCAGGCTGCAGGTGGCTTGAAACAAGAGCCCTGAGAATTGGTTCAGAGCTCAAAGATTAAAGAAACCAAAGAGGTTGGTTTCATGAACTGTTTGGCTGCTGATCCCATTTACAGAACTGTGCTGTTCCTGTGGCCCCTTGATTCCCAGCTGCTTCCTTGCCTTTCTGCTCGACTGTCCCCAAACTGGCCCTTGCCTGCCCCAGCCTCTGCCCCCTTGTCTTGTCTGGATGGAAATCTGCAGGAGCCTAGAACAGATGTGAGAGCAGCGTGGAGTAGGCTGGATATACAACAGCAGTAACCCCCGGGGAGGCCACACTGCCCAGAGCTTTCTCTTAAATGAAGGGCAGGCCCGGCCAGCTGCAGAGCGCGGGGGCTACGGCACCCACAGGCTTTCAGGCAAGTGCGGGAGGCACCCCCAGGCTCCCCAGTGATGGGGCATGGCCCATCAACCTGGCATTCATGACAGTTTTGCTCTGGCAGTTTTTGCTTCCACCGCCATCACCCATCAGCTCCCCAGTGACAAGCCAGACACCTGCAGCCCGTAAGCACAGCAGGGTGGGAGCTCCGGCCCACACAGGGATGACCTCTGAGCTGCTCTCTCTGCTCTTCAGGACATCAGCGACCGGATCGAGAAGGAGCCTGCTGAGGGGCCCATTGTCACTGCCTTGGAGGCCGAGGGCCGTGCGGTGGTGAGGATGAACTGGAGGATGCACATCTCTGTCCCACTGCAGACAGGTAATGGCTCACACACCAGGCCCTGTGCCTGATGCTGAATGGGGGACCTGCCTTCTGCAAAGGGACTGAGGGTGCTTGGGGCTTTCCAGGCACAAGCAGGTGCTTGGAGTTTTCCAGCACTCATCCTGCTCAGGGCAGTGAGCTCAGTTACTTTGGGCCACTGGAAATTCAATGAGACCAGGGTCCCTGTAGCTGTGTCTTGCCTGCTCTTGAGTGCCCCAGCTGCCTCCCCCCTGGACATGCTCCCCACTCCTGGTCTTAGAGGAGGTCTCATTCAGTCTCTTGCTGTTTCTAGACTTGAGGAAGTTTCGTTCATACAAGGGCAGCTCCGTGCGCGACCTCCTGCGGGCCATGAGAAACAAGGTACTGCCCCCAACCCTCCTCCCTGCTGCAGGTCGGGGCCCTGGGGCTCGGGCCGTGGGTAAACCTGTCCTCTTGCTGTCTCTTGTGCAGAAGCACCACTACCACGAGCTGCCAGCTGACGTCCAGGAGACACTGGGGGCTGTTCCTGATGACTTTGTTCAGTACTTCACCTCCCGCTTCCCCAGGCTGCTGCTGCACGCGCACACGGCCATGCAGATCTGTGCTGGGGAGAGGCTCTTCCACTCCTACTACTACCAGGAGGTGGGAGACCCTGAGAAATGAGCGGAGAAGCTGCTGCTGGGTCAGGACTGACTTGGAGGCTTGCGTTGCCCAGCAGCATCTCGTCGGCCTGGTAAGGGGGAGCCTGCCAGGCTGAGGCTCCCACCAGATAGCTGTTGCCCAGCACGTGCCCTAGTTTAATCCTTTCAGCACAGAGGTTTCTGCAGGATGTAGGACAACTAGCAGCACTACTTGCTGTCTCTGCCGCTTCCCCAAGCTGGGCTGGATGGCATCTCCCTGCCACTGCCTGCCGTCCCTGTGGTGGGGACTTGAGGGGCTTTCCCTGAGGCTCCTGGCTGGGAGAGCTGGGTCCTGACCAGTTCTCCACACCTTCTTTTTCCAAGGCACTTGCTCCAGGTTTCATTTGTGGGCACACAAAGGAGTCCTGGCTTTGGGGCTCATGCACTCACAGTGCAGCTGTCCATCGTATTGACAGGCCCAGTGATCTGCAGCCTGTCATGTAACAGTGCCCAGGATGGGGCCAGTGCTGGCACAGAGCTCATAGCCAGGCCCCAGAGCCAGTCCTACAGGCCCTCTTGCATCTGCTCTTCAACCCTGCGCCAGGCAGGTGTCCAGGTCCCAGAGGCTGAAGGAGGACTGGGTTTGCCTTGAGGCAGGGGCCAGGCCCTTCACCTTGGCAGGACTCTTGCTGAGCTCCCTGGCATCTGGGTGCTGGTTCTGTCAGGGCTTGGCTTGAAAAACAGCAATGCCAGCGCCTCCCGGGGCCAAGACAGCAGCGAGATGGATTGGATGCCACTGGTCCCTCTGGGTCTCTCCCTGCACCTGTTGATCCTAATCCGGGAGCCAATCCAAGTGCATTCTTGGAAGTGAGGAACATGCATATCAAAGGGCGGAGAGCCACGAGCAGGCTGCAGCCAGGGCTGTGCCATCTTTGTGCTCAGACCCTGGATGAAGTAGCCCCAGGGCAAGCTCATCTGCAAGAGTCCATGCACAAGCGCATGTGTATCAGGGCAAGGCCTGGGAAGCTTTTATCTGAAACAAAATGTGATTTTTAAGCTGGGTGGCACTGGACAGTCCAAGCCAGAGGACGACTGGGGGCAGCGTGAGTCATTGTCTGCAGGGCTGCAGGCTGGTGGCCAGAGGCTTTTACTATTTTTTTAACCCAAAACCACTTTTAGTCTATTTTCTTGCCCTTCCCAGAGGCCTGTCCCTGGAGCATGAGCATAGGATGCAGCACGGCCCCCTGCACCTATGAGAGCAGTCTGAGATGGCCAATTTCTTGGTGGCATTTGCTCCCTTCAGGGCCAAGTGCCCGGGTCTATTTGTCTGTGCCTTTGCTCATGTGTCTCCTGGCTGATGCAGCAGTGTCTGCGTGTTAATCGGATGAGGAAGCCCATGCAGTGTTTCCCGATAGTCACGGGGCTGCAGCTGTTTGCAGAGCAGATCCCTAGCAGAGGATCCTCCCTGGGCTCAGCAGGCCTCTGGGCATCAGCTGCTCCAGACCTCTTGGCTGTGAGACATCCTCATGGCTGCTCTTGCTCTGGCGTCTCTCCAGCATCCAATCTAGAAGTGGAACTCGACCCTTCCTGAGAGAGTGCTGCCAGTGCAATGTTTACTGTGTTTCCTGTTTTATTCTCTGAGGCAGCAAACGAGCAGTCTCTGCCAGGCCAGGACTCCCTTGCTGACTCGCAGGCAGTGGGTTTCCATGAGGGTGGGAAGTGCTGTGTTTGAAGAATAGCAAGAGCGGGAAGAGGCTGCTGGGGCCTTCCACTTCCCTGGCACATTAGTCAGACAGACCCAGAAATGTCCCCATGGGCGCTCCTATTCCCCAGAGCCTGAGAGCGCAGCCCCATTGCTGTGGAGTCTCAGAACTGGCCTAATGTCAGCTGCCTCCTCGAGACCCGACATCCCGCAGCTTGTAGACATCCCTTGCTCCTGCAGCTGATGCTGCCAGGTCTAAATGCACCACGGTCTCTGCTGTCCCCACGCACTTTTCTCTTTCCTTGGGTGATGGTTTTGTACGTTTGATTGTGGTTTTTCTCCGGGTGTGGGGTCTGGCCCTTGGGTAACAATCAGTTTGTACCTGCTGTACTTACAGAGCATTTTATATGGCAGAGAATATTTTATATACAATGTTGTAAATAAAAGATTTGAAAAGTTTACCTAGGTAAAATGGGGAACAGATCCGGCCAGAAGCACTAGCAGCTCGTGCTGGTTGAGGCCTTCTCTGCCTGGGGTATTTACTAAGCTGTCCTGCATTTACACGCACCCATTAAAAACACTAGAGCCCTGGTGCCGAAATCAGGGAGACCAGTGGAAGTGGGACATTAGTAATGCTCCACTGGGGCCCATGCACCTGCTCCCACCCCCAGGCTGTTGTGCCTGCTTGAGAAGCATTTCCAAAGGTGGAATATGGTCTCCATCCTCCCAGTCATGGGTCTCCCTGGCTGTTTGAGGACAGAAGTGAGGCTCCTTGAGGGAAACGCTTGCCCTGCCAAGCCCCAGCAGCATGGCTGGCATCTACCTGCTGTCTCCGCAGGTGAAGCTCCCTCCCAAGGCTAGACCAGATGCCAACATTGTGCTTACCTAGGACCTGCTGTCACAGCCCAGGGATTGCTGAGCTCGTTCCACCCAGGGAGGGTGTCTCACTAAATAAGAGGCGGCCTGCATCCCCTCAAGGGAGAGAGTTCACTAGTTCCCATACCTGTGCAAAGGGCTTCACCCTTTGGGCTTCCAGCACCTGCTCCATGCTTGTCCCCAACTGTGCAGGGCCAGGTACCCTGGGCACTGCGGCCAGGGGAGCTCGCAGGGCATTTCAGGCCCTGGCAAGGGCAGCTCTTGGGCAGGCAAAGGACGTTTGCAGCAGGACCCAGCCCTGCACAAGCCCCATCTATTTTGAAGGGCCTAAGAGGATTGTTCCTGCATAGTAACCAGCAGGGGTGTTTCTGCTTAGCCCTGCAGGTAGGGTCAGCCTGCGTCAGGACACCGTGCCTACAGGGAACAGCTGAGCTGCCCCAGACAGTTGGAGCTGAGCTTAGGTAAGGCTGGGAGGGCTCCAGGGCCTTTGGCTAAGCCCCGATATCTGCCAACGGGACCTGGGCAGCAGCAGGGAACCCAGGCCGCTCTGCTTCCATGAACCCGTTACCTTACAAAGCAGCCTCAGCCTTGCGGGGCTGCAGGATACCTCTGCCCTGGGCTCCAAACCAGGGTCCCCACCAGCAGCCCTGCCAGGCAGGGGGACTAGACTCAAGGCAGGAGCAGGAGAGAACGGGGCTGCAACAAAACAATCTTTAATCGAGAGAGATCATATACAAAAGTAGTTTAATGGGAGGCAGACTAGCTCCAACGTTAAAAAGCCGATTGCTCTGCTCGGACCCCGCCCGTGCGAGCCTTGAACACCCGACAAGCACCATGGGGGGGGGGAGCCCAGAAACAAAATAAATTACATGATGCCTCCGCCCTGCCCTCTGCATGGGGCAGGGAAGGAGCAGGCTGCTCTCGGAGAGTACAGGAGGAGTCGGGGTTGCAAATTAGGAAGAACTAGACATTTAATAGAAGCTGAGTGGCTGACGGGGAGCAGAGCCGAGCCGTTGGGTAGTTACGGAGCCCTGAGCTGCCGGCTCCCACCCCCATAGTCTGGCTGCCGGAGCAAAGTCCCACCCCCCTCAGAGGCCTTGGTGTTGGCCCAGATGTGGAGTCCACAGCGTGAGGCCCTAAGCGCAAGTCTTTGTGCGGGCCGAGCCCGACTTGGAAGTGAGGAGCTTCTCCACCATGGTGCGGGCGTAGCGCAGGCGGCTGGCCAGCTCCTTGCAGCAGCCGTGCTCCTCAATCAGGCTGAGCTTGTAGGTGCGGAAGTCCCGCTTCTCATCGATGTAGGCGACGGCTGCCATCAAGGGACACAAGATGATCTTGGTGTGGTCCTGCGGAGGAAGAAGCCAGGCTGAGCTGAGGCCGCACCAGGTGTGGGGGGTTCCTGAGGGGCAGAGTCCCAGGGCACGTACCCCTCTCCCCCCAAGAGTGCTCAGCCCCAGCCTATGAAGCCAGGTCAAGCAGCCTGCACGGCGTCTGGCAACTCCAAAAAATTTGGCGGTGGGGGAGTGGGCAGCATTAGTCACTGCTCCGCTGCTGCCAGGTTTCCAGACCTGCGGGGAGCCTGCATGCTAAAAGGTAAAGCACGTGGGGCCCAGTCCAGACACACCAACCCTGTGCAGGATCTGGCCTATGGAGCAGCCCCACGCTGCTCATCCGGCCCACGGGGCCAAAAGGCTGAGCCCCACTGGCTGAGCAGGCCACCACTCCCTCCCAAGGGAACAAGGCATCGATGCAGAGTTTCTGTTGCAGCATTTCAGCAAGTTGGAAGTAAGGAGAGAGAGAGAGAAGCCATGGTGGTAGTCAGCTCCGGCCAGCATCGCAGCTGCTTAAGCTGTAGCGAGCGAAGAGATATTCCCACAGCAAGGCAGCGCACCGTGCCGGACAGACAGGCAGGGAGGCTCAGGGGCTGGGGAACACACCAGGCAGACCAAAATCTGGCCTGAGTTTTTAGTCACCTGCTGCCGCTGCTACGTGCAGGAGAGAGTAACACCCCGTCTCCGGCACTCGGGCAAGCGAGATCCCGAGCTGCCGGCTCCAAGCCAGGTGCGCAGGTGCCGTGGCCTCACCTGGAAGAAGTTGATCTGCACAGTGCCGTTGCTCAGGTGCAGGATGATGGCACTGCGGGTCCGGAACCAGGCGCGCAGGTAGGGCAAGCGAGCGAGCTCGTCTCCCTCACGGGGCGTGATGTTTGCCCCAGCCTTCAGCAGGTGCTCACTCATGTAGTTCCGGAAGTATTTCAGCAGCGTTATCTATAGCAGGGACGGGAGCTCTGTGAGCTGGGGGCACGAGTGCAAGGGGAAGCATGGTGCCAGGGCAGGGGCTGCTTCCGGCCTCTCAGCCACTGTTCCTTTTACCTTGGCAGCAAGACTGCAAAGGGTCAAGGGCCCACAGAGAAGGGAAGAACCAGCCCAAGCTGCCTGGCTACTGCAGCAGCCTGCATGCAATGCCCCCTGGGACAACGCAGGACCAGTCAGTTGTACTTGGGGGTCCTGGATTCATAACTTTACACTTTGGCATGGGCAGGTCCCGGCACAGCTGAAAAGAGCCTGCAGTGTCAGAAGGTCCATAAAACCCCAAGGGCACTGGGTCTGACTGTGAGTGGGACCCAAGCTGCTGCCAGGGTGCTGGTAGGAGCCAGGAGTGCACAGGCATAGCACATCTAGGCTCTACCTTGTGCAGCCTGGATGGTTCCTGAACCACTCGTGCAGCATTAAGAGCCACCTGGGTATGGGCATCATCTTTCCAGGTGACAGTTAGAGGCTGATGGAGCCAAAGTGGCAGCAGGTCTTGGCTGGGACAGGGCTCTTCACATTAACCTGGGGGTCACCGCAGCAAGGGTAGAAGGGCAGCCACAGTTAGCAGGGGGCTGGTTCCCCACTCCTGCCACTAGACCTGCGTCTCCAAAGGAACTGACCTTCTTGGTCAATGCGGATGGATAGGATCTCACGGTGAAGTAGGACTCAGAGCTGTTCTGCTCGATGTACTGCAGGCTGTCCCCGTCGTTGTACATGATGAGGCGGGTGGAGTCATTGAAGAGGACCCCGACGCTGTTGTCGCACAGCTGGTAGCCTGGGTTGAGGAGGGAGCATGAGAACTCCAGACACAGCATTGCGAGTGAAGCCGGAGGCCCATTCGTGCCTGGAGAGGGGCCCCATCACCGCACCCTCCTGGCCAAGCCACTGGGCCATGGGTTCCTGCTTTGTAAGGGGCTAGGGAGGGAAGTCCTGCTGCAGGGTCTCCATCAAGCAGCCAGCAATGACAACAGCAAGCATGTCTTCACCCCCCCAGCCTGTGCAGAAGATGCCCCAGCTCCCCCTGCGCTCTACCCCATGCTGGCTGCAAGGCAAAGCGAGCTCCGTGCAGCCATCAGATCCTGCACGCTCCAGGCTGGAAGAAGGGTCTAGCACTAGGTCGCGACTCCCACTTGCTGTGGATTTTCCCCTGCACCCAGTGGTACCAGCACCCAGGCATGACACGCTACACACCTACAGCCTGAGAACTAGCAACTCCCACCACGTGATTTGTGGCTGCCCTTGGCAGACTCCCCCCTAAGTCTCACATCCCTCGAGGGCATCCCCCCCACCAGGGAGCTGAGGGGAACACCAAGGAGCCACTTACCTAATCCATACTTATCCGAGTAGTCCACCCATTTGCTAACCCAGAAAATGGGAATGCAGGCGGGATCCTCGGCCTCCTCTGCAAGAGACGCAACGTGAGAGATAAAGGCATTTGCTGAAACCCCCATGGCAGCCAGCCTCGGGGTTTGACATTCAGGCAGCCCCTGTGCAGCTCAGCCAGGCTCCTTGAAGGTCTGGATCAGGACCCACGAGTCAACAGGGAAGATTATACAAGGACACCACCGCATCTCAGACCCCCCCCCCTTCCCCCCCCCCCGCCCCCCCTTGTCTCACCAACCCCCTCCCCCAGGGCTTGGCTCCCTTAACTG